ATATGAAAATAGAAAATCAAAGTTATATATATTGTTATTGTTACATAGGAGGTATTTGTTCCTTTGTTGTAAATAAAATTTGAAATTTTTTGATAAATTTTATCAGTTGATAAACTACAATTGAGATTTGAAAGAGTTTTCATTCAATTTTTTATAATAAAATTTCTGAAGAATCAAACTTCTTGATCACCTCCGTTGTAACTATTTTTTTAAGTCTGCATTGACCCTTGAGGCCCTTTTAACTTAAGGAAATTTTTTATATACATCGGATATATCCAAGTTAGTACATTTTTTACCAAAAATAAAAAGAAGTTTGTTTCCTATTTAATCCATACTTTTTTAAGTATTTTTCATCAAATCCCAATTTTTTTTTTTTTTGGACATACGTATAGTAACTTAATAAAATTTTAAAAATAAATATTTTAATTTACATATTTTGTAAATAAAATTACTTTTAATATTTTTTAAATGTGAAATACTATAGTAAATAATATGTGGTATCATATGCAAATTGCTTACTAACAACACAACTATTTTAATACCTCATGTTATTGTCATTGATAGTGATTTTGGATGCGCATGTTTAAAAGCTTTACTGGCATGTTAAAAATAAATTTAAATTTTTAATTTTTTTGGTAGGAATATATCTTTTTTGATTTATTTTTACTATACCAAAAAAATAATAATTCTTAATTGATATGTGTTGCATTCAACTCTAAAATAGAATATTTAAAATTTAAATTCTGCATAACCTTATACTAAATTTTGGGTATTTGAGTTATCATGTAATTTGTATATTATGGTCACAGTGTCTATTCTATTATATAGTTTGTTATTCTTTATTCTTTTTCTTCTTTTCTTTTGTTAGTTGGCCCAATAAATACTTTAAGAAGAACATTGTGTTGGACATGTTATAGCGGTTTAAGAAGAAATTGAGATATGAAGAGGGTAAAGAGTTACTCTGTAGCAATAGCCATGTCTAATTGTTGTATTGAATAATTTTAATGATTATTTCTTTCATCTATATTTCAATAGAAAATAGATTCTTTTATTTTAAAATTTAACATAATTTGTAAATATTTTATTTGTATCTCACTTTATTAGTATTAAATAGATGAGATTCCGTTAAATTTTATGAAGAGGGAGATATCCACACAAAAATTTCATGACCTAATCACATGAAAATTTTGTGTTTATCTCTATCTATGTCTCTTTCTATTTTTTGTGTGTTGATACACGTCTATCTCTCTTCATTAATATTAAATATGTAAGATTCAATTAAAATTTATAAAAAAAATTAAATACAAAATTTTCACATGATCAAACCATATAGAATTTTAACACAGAAAATACATTTTTATTTTCATATTTTGCTAACACAATAAATGTTGGAATTGAGTTATCATGAAACTGTCTAGCTTCCAACAAGCCACTAAGCTGGTAACCTTAACTGATATAAAATAAAAAATTGTGCTCTTTGCGAATAAATTGTTGGGATATTCAACTGTGATGACTCTCGCATTGATTTGCAATGGGCTAAGTGAAATGTATATAGGTGGATGGATCTATGAACCTAATGCCTTAAGATTTTGGCTTGTGACATGATGTTGGACCCATTAGGTATGACTGGTCTAGCTTGGCCCATGAGTGGTGGTCTCCTGCCACGGGTTCCTCCTGGGCCCGCCTGTGGTATCACAGTCGCGTTGGGCTCGAGCTAGCTAGGTGTTTGGCTAGGAGGTGAGTTTCAGTACTTGAACCCTGTGATATTTAGCTGAGGGGGAGCACATTAATGGTGGGTTTCACACTTGAGGGGGAGATTCTGCTGACCCCGACTCTGATACCAAATGTTGGGTATGGGTCAAACTTCGCATATTGATGAGGGTTATTATTGGCAGGGTCAGCAGGAAGACAACTGTAATTTTTTTTTCTTGATAGTCTGGGCTTGAGTCCATGAATATATGCTGTTAGGGTTTTTTAAATCATATTTATATTTCCTTATAAACCGAGTGACTTGTAACGAGTGGCGGCGAGGTGAATATAATACAGACAAGCTGGACGTGGCCTATATTGGGTGAACCAAGGTAAATCGTTGTGCCAAATCTCTCTTCCCTTTCTTTTTTGTTTTTTGATTTGTGTGAGTCAATTTCCAACATAAATCCTGTTATCAGCTACTTGAATATATCTTGGCTTTTCTCGCAGGATGGTTTGAAAAAAAAAGGTGGCTAAACAATCACACAAGGGGGGTGAATTGTGTGTTACTTCTAATTCAAGAAATAATTCAAAAACTCTTCTTTTAAGAGGTATATCAACCAAAAACGAATTCAAACAGATTTTAAACGTTTTTTCCAACACAAAACAGAATTAAAATAATTCTTATAACAACAATTTAGAGGTAATTGCAGCAGATTCAAAATTGTAAGGAAAAATAGATGAAAATCAATGTTTATGCTCATCCTTTTCAAGAAATCACGCAAGAACGAATCAAAACAGAATTCTAATGATTATTAACCTTAACATATATTCAATATAACATATATCAAGAATCAAAAGGAAATCAATTGATCAAAATCAAAAGAGATAGGATAAGAAAGAATCACGTGCGATATATCCAACCACTTGAGAACTACGTCCAGACTGAGGTCGATCGTTTTCACTATCATCAATCTTCCAAAAGGTGCTTGAAGAAACCTTTTTACAACTGGAATTTTATAAGTCTATAATAAAAATCATGTACAGATCTTATAGATAAGATAGCATGAGACAATACTAATTCTCTTTCTTCCTTCTATTGCCTTTACTTTATTTTTTTTTGAATCGAAAGTAGAAACTACATAATTATGTTTTTCTAATTTTGATTTCATAATCGGGTTTGCTCTATCATAAGAAAAAAACTTGTTACAAAATATGCAGAATTTGATTTTATGTTATTGTATTAATTGACAATTATTTTTTGAATTAATTATTTTATAACAATAGAAATCTAAGTCACGAGAATACCCATTTATTTATTTGTTTTGAATCGAAAGTAGAAACTACATAATTATGTTTTTTTAATTTTTTCTTTAAAGATATGTTTTTTTAATTTTGATTTCATAATCGGGTTTGCTATATCATAAAATAAAATAAAAAACTTGTTACAAAATATGCAGAATTTGATTTTATGTTTTTGTATTAATTGAAAATTATATTTTTAATTAATTATTTTATGACAATAGAAATCTAAGTCATGAGAATATATTTGTGTACCGAATTGTAATAAGCATAATGTAACAAAATGAAAAGTTGTATCCCATGGTTTGTGATTTTATTTTTCGTAACTTTTTTTTTTGGGAAACAGTTTTTTGTAACTTTTTTTCTTCAAAGTATCAATTTTGAGAATTTTTTTCAATTTTCTGGAGATATGTCTCTTTGTTTTGTAAGAAAGAGATTATAAATAAAATTCATGCATTTAGTACAATTAATAGAATTATTTAGATTTTTGTAAAAAAAATGTTATTTTGTAATTTAACAATTATTTTGAATTATCAAGCAATTATGGAATAAATTTATTTTAGAGTTTGAATTAAATTAAAAATGGTTAGAAATGTTAGTAGTTATGTTGTGATTTAGTATTACCCTTTTGTTATTAATTTACATTATTTTTTTAAATAGTCTTATAAAATATTTTGTTTAGTTGAGGTGAGTTTAATAATTTTTTGAAATTCTAGTTATTTAAGATGAATACATTACACTAATCCTTCTTGCAATCAGTATATAATCATGTATTAGAATATGTGCAATTAATTTTATTTGTGCAATGAGTGTGATATGAAAAAAAAATGTTTTGAAGATGATAAAATATCTCACTTATTTGCATTTTAGTTATCATCTTATATTGTGATGTATAATAAAGATGCTGATAAAGCACAATATTGATCGATGTCACTTATTATTCAACTGAATAAATTGATTTTGTCTTTTAAATTGCTATTAATTTTGTGTGAAGAAGCAACTATAGATCATTTGCCATCAATTTAATTTAATTTTTAGAATGAATGAGAAACCGTTGGAGCAATTTATGTTTTTTAAATGCATTCATGAAGTGAGATATAATATATATTGTAACATTTATGCTTGCTATTGAGTGAAAGATTATGAGTTTAGCTATTTTGTTTTGTGTATAATATATTTTATTTTCACCTGTGTATATATATTTTATTTCCATCTATTCAGTAATATTCTCTTAATTGATGCAAATAAAGAGTGACGATGATATGTAATTAAATGCATTTTTCTCAATTTTGTGAATCAAAATTAATGTCATAATTATTAACTTCATTGTTTTTTTTTGGTAAATCAAAGGGCCTAAGCCCAACAAAAGAAAACAAAGAAAACCAAAACAAAGAGCACCTACAGGATGACTAAGGCACGTGGTCTACCCATGTTAGCTAGGTCAGCTAGATACAATAACTGAATACCAGGAGGAGGATCTCCACTTATAAAATCTAATTTATCATTAAAATAAATATACAATATATAAGTTGAGAGTTTAATAAATGTTATAAAATCATCTTATCGTTTGACCCGGAAAACAATAAGTACGTCATGTTTAATTTAAAGAAATTAAAATTTAATATTTAAGTGAAAACAAGAATTTAAATTTATATCTTAATATTCGTTTCAAGTTTATTTCAATTTAAACTAAAAAAAAAAACCCCTCTTGATTGATATTTTTTACGTTTAACTGTAAAAAATAAAATAATTTAAATTCAAATAATGGATAGTCTGTTTGTTAGTGTAATTTGTTATCAATAGCCTGAGTTTTCGAGTGATTTCTGTTATCAAGTAATATGTCGTGTAACAAACTCATCAACAGTTTTTACTCTATCACTTTGTTATTTTATTTTATTTTTCATTTGTCCTAATCTTCTATAAATACCTTGAATACTACAACTGTGTTACCATATCCTAGAGTTGTAGAAAACTGAGATCCTATGGCACTAAAGAGTTACTCTGTATCCATGTCCCTGCTTTTCTGTTCCTTGATTTTGCTTCTTTTATACGTGCCTTTGTTTTGCGATGGAGGCTTTACAAGCCCCTTCCTAAGGAAATATCCGTCTGTTGATATGCCATTTGATAGTGACGTATTTGCAACTCCTCCGGGCTATAATGCTCCTCAGCAGGTACAATTCTCTGTTTTTTTAATATCAATTAAACATTATATTAATTGCTGTTTTTAATTGGTAACAAATATGTTGGTCTTTGTTATATAGGTTCATTTAACACAAGGTGACCAATTGGGAAGAGCCATGATCGTGTCATGGGTGACTGAGGATGAACCAGGATTGAGTGTAGTTCATTATTGGAGTGAGAACACCCCCCACAAGTTGGTGGCACAGGGAAGATATGTTACCTATAGATACTTCAACTATGCATCTGGTTTTATTCATCACTGCACACTTAAAAATCTAGAGGCAAGAGAACATTAATAATGGCTGCATGTTATTTTTATTCTAATAGAAAAAAAAAAAAGATAGAGAATTTTCTTTATTGAATTGAATCAATGGATCATTGTAATTTTTTTGTTATTATTTTTGCAGTATGACACTAAATATTATTATAAGGTGGGAATTGGGCATACTGAGAGACAATTTTGGTTTGTGACCCCTCCTGAAGTTGGTCCGGATGTACCTTATACATTCGGTCTCATTGGCAAGTTTCTTCTTCTAAAACTATAATTTATGGTTGATTTACAGTTGGAACTTTTTTTGAGAACTTGGTACCTTGGCACTGAGGTTTAAGCATGTCAAAATTAATTTTAGATGATGGGGCTTTCTTTGCAGGGGATCTAGGTCAGACTTCTGATTCAAACAAGACCCTTACTCACTACGAAATGAACCCTAAGAAAGGACAAACTGTGTTGTTTGTTGGGGACCTCTCTTATGCAGATGATCACCCAAATCATGACAACAGAAGATGGGATTCATGGGGAAGGTTTGTTGAAAGAAACAATGCTTATCAACCTTGGATATGGACCCAAGGGAACCATGAAGTTGACTATGCCCCTCAAATTGTAAGCTTTCCACTTGATTTTGTGTTGAGTTTACTTTTATTCACAATTTAATTCCTCAATTTGATATGACGACCCTCATGTTTTGCTTTTTGATCTAAATCCAATTTTTGATACAAAATTAAATTCTAAAGTGGAGATTATGATGCTTTTCAGGGCGAAACAGAACCTTTCAAGCCATTCTCCCACCGTTACCCAGTCCCTTACAAGGCATCAGGAAGTACTGGACCCTTTTGGTATTCTATCAAGAGAGGTCCCGCACATATCATAGTCTTGGCTTCGTATTCATCTTATGGTAATATTAGATACATCACTTTCTCTCGACTTGTGTCGAAAACATGATTTCTCTTTAACTTCCTTTCTAATTCTCTTCTGCTTACACAAAACGGTAGATAGTATTGTTTATAACATATACATATAATGTATATTGAACTAGGTATCATAATTTGTGCCATCTCTTTCCATATAATAATTTTTCAGGTAAATATACTCCCCAATATGTATGGCTTCAGCAAGAGCTACCAAAGGTTGATAGGACCAAGACTCCTTGGTTGATTGTTCTTGTGCATGCTCCATGGTACAATAGCTACAACTATCATTACATGGAAGGGGAAACCATGAGGGTGCAGTTTGAGTCATGGTTTGTGCAGTACAAGGTTGATGTTGTGTTTGCTGGTCACGTACATGCCTATGAACGAACTGTAAGTGCCATGCCATCCCTGCTCAGAACACATTGTTCTTAATACTCTATTAATAAAAATATTATATTACAACTCTTCATATCTAAAACAAATGTTTCTATGTTGTTTATGCACCACCATATATCAGGACCGTGTCTCTAATATTGCATACAACATTGTAAATGGTCAATCCACACCTGTGAGGGATCAGTCAGCTCCCGTATACATAACCATTGGTGACGGAGGGAACATTGAAGGCTTAGCAAAAAAGTAAGCTCTACATAATTTTTCTTCCTTGCATGAATGACTTGTTTCTTTTATGTCAGATTTTGTTTGATTACTAATTTGTCGTTTTTTTTTCCTTTGTATTGCAGCTTGATAGAGCCTCAGCCTGCTTACTCTCTATACCGTGAACCCAGCTTTGGACATGCCATTTTTGATATAAAGAACAGAACACATGCTCACTATACCTGGAACCGAAATGATGATGGAGATGCTGTGGTGTCTGATTCTATGTGGTTTTTCAACAGATACTATCACCCCCTTGATGATTCCTCAACCACTGACCGCCACAACGCGTAGTTCAGTTTATTTTGCTGAGATTTTCTTTTTCTTTCAAATAAAATTTAGCTTGAATTTGTACTAAAAAAAAAAAGTTTAGCCTGAATTTTTCTTTTTATGGTCCAGTCTAGTCCTTTATTTCAATGTTTCCGTTGTTGAACTTTGTTTTATTTTAGCGGTGTCTCTTTACTTAGTTTAAAGACATCTTTTTCTTAATAAATAAGATCTTTTTGTAAGGATTATTAGCCTATTCTTCTTTTGATCTCTTTTTTTTTATTATTAAAGTCATCTCAATGTTTCCTTTTAGATTTGGTGGAAAAGAACTAAAATAATCAAATTTAGTTAGGTTGGTATTGTTTTGGATTTAGTGATTTTTTTCTCAACAAACTCAAGTCATATTATTCCAAATTTTAGCAATTAGAATTAAGGCAAAATCATAATTGTAGGTACACAAATTTTAGCAAAATGAATATGTGCTAATAAAATATTTGCACATTGTTTACCAAAAAATAAAAAAAATATTTGCACATTGGTCTCATTATCAGTTAAGTATGAGAGATTTATCAGTTTTTTTTTTTTAATTTAGCGAATCAATTTATAAAGAAGGGATTTTATCAAACCAAAATGAAAAAAAAATATGAAAATAGAAAATCAAAGTTATATATATTGTTATTATTACATAGGAGGTATTTGTTCCTTTGTTGTAAATAAAATTTGAAATTTTTTGATAAATTTTATCGGTTGATAAACTACAATTGAGATTTGAAAGAGTTTTCATTCAATTTTTATAATAAAATTTCTGAAGAATCAAACTTCTTGATCACCTCCATTGTAACTATTTTTTTAGTCTGCATTGACCCTTGAGGCCCTTTTAACTTACGGAAATTTTTTATATACATCGGATATATCCAGTTAGTACAATTTTTTACCAAAAATAAAAAGAAGTTTGTTTCCTATTTAATCCATACTTTTTTAAGTATTTTTCATCAAATCCCAATTTTTTTTTTTTTGGACATACGTATAGTAACTTAATAAAATTTTAAAAATAAATATTTTAATTTACATATTTTGTAAATAAAATTACTTTTAATATTTTTTAAATGTGAAATACTATAGTAAATAATATGTGGTATCATATGCAAATTGCTTACTAACAACACAACTATTTTAATACCTCATGTTATTGTCATTGATAGTGATTTTGGATGCGCATGTTTAAAAGCTTTACTGGCATGTTAAAAATAAATTTAAATTTTTAATTTTTTTGGTAGGAATATATCTTTTTTGATTTATTTTTACTATACCAAAAAAATAATAATTCTTAATTGATATGTGTTGCATTCAACTCTAAAATAGAATATTTAAAATTTAAATTCTGCATAACCTTATACTAAATTTTGGGTATTTGAGTTATCATGTAATTTGTATATTATGGTCACAGTGTCTATTCTATTATATAGTTTGTTATTCTTTATTCTTTTTCTTCTTTTCTTTTGTTAGTTGGCCCAATAAATACTTTAAGAAGAACATTGTGTTGGACATGTTATAGCGGTTTAAGAAGAAATTGAGATATGAAGAGGGTAAAGAGTTACTCTGTAGCAATAGCCATGTCTAATTGTTGTATTGAATAATTTTAATGATTATTTCTTTCATCTATATTTCAATAGAAAATAGATTCTTTTATTTTAAAATTTAACATAATTTGTAAATATTTTATTTGTATCTCACTTTATTAGTATTAAATAGATGAGATTCCGTTAAATTTTATGAAGAGGGAGATATCCACACAAAAATTTCATGACCTAATCACATGAAAATTTTGTGTTTATCTCTATCTATGTCTCTTTCTCTTTTTTGTGTGTTGATACACGTCTATCTCTCTTCATTAATATTAAATATGTAAGATTCAATTAAAATTTATAAAAAAAATTAAATACAAAATTTTCACATGATCAAACCATATAGAATTTTAACACAGAAAATACATTTTTATTTTCATATTTTGCTAACACAATAAATGTTGGAATTGAGTTATCATGAAACTGTCTAGCTTCCAACAAGCCACTAAGCTGGTAACCTTAACTGATATAAAATAAAAAATTGTGCTCTTTGCGAATAAATTGTTGGGATATTCAACTGTGATGACTCTCGCATTGATTTGCAATGGGCTAAGTGAAATGTATATAGGTGGATGGATCTATGAACCTAATGCCTTAAGATTTTGGCTTGTGACATGATGTTGGACCCATTAGGTATGACTGGTCTAGCTTGGCCCATGAGTGGTGGTCTCCTGCCACGGGTTCCTCCTGGGCCCGCCTGTGGTATCACAGTCGCGTTGGGCTCGAGCTAGCTAGGTGTTTGGCTAGGAGGTGAGTTTCAGTACTTGAACCCTGTGATATTTAGCTGAGGGGGAGCACATTAATGGTGGGTTTCACACTTGAGGGGGAGATTCTGCTGACCCCGACTCTGATACCAAATGTTGGGTATGGGTCAAACTTCGCATATTGATGAGGGTTATTATTGGCAGGGTCAGCAGGAAGACAACTGTAATTTTTTTTTCTTGATAGTCTGGGCTTGAGTCCATGAATATATGCTGTTAGGGTTTTTTAAATCATATTTATATTTCCTTATAAACCGAGTGACTTGTAACGAGTGGCGGCGAGGTGAATATAATACAGACAAGCTGGACGTGGCCTATATTGGGTGAACCAAGGTAAATCGTTGTGCCAAATCTCTCTTCCCTTTCTTTTTTGTTTTTTGATTTGTGTGAGTCAATTTCCAACATAAATCCTGTTATCAGCTACTTGAATATATCTTGGCTTTTCTCGCAGGATGGTTTGAAAAAAAAAGGTGGCTAAACAATCACACAAGGGGGGTGAATTGTGTGTTACTTCTAATTCAAGAAATAATTCAAAAACTCTTCTTTTAAGAGGTATATCAACCAAAAACGAATTCAAACAGATTTTAAACGTTTTTTCCAACACAAAACAGAATTAAAATAATTCTTATAACAACAATTTAGAGGTAATTGCAGCAGATTCAAAATTGTAAGGAAAAATAGATGAAAATCAATGTTTATGCTCATCCTTTTCAAGAAATCACGCAAGAACGAATCAAAACAGAATTCTAATGATTATTAACCTTAACATATATTCAATATAACATATATCAAGAATCAAAAGGAAATCAATTGATCAAAATCAAAAGAGATAGGATAAGAAAGAATCACGTGCGATATATCCAACCACTTGAGAACTACGTCCAGACTGAGGTCGATCGTTTTCACTATCATCAATCTTCCAAAAGGTGCTTGAAGAAACCTTTTTACAACTGGAATTTTATAAGTCTATAATAAAAATCATGTACAGATCTTATAGATAAGATAGCATGAGACAATACTAATTCTCTTTCTTCCTTCTATTGCCTTTACTTTATTTTTTTTTGAATCGAAAGTAGAAACTACATAATTATGTTTTTCTAATTTTGATTTCATAATCGGGTTTGCTCTATCATAAGAAAAAAACTTGTTACAAAATATGCAGAATTTGATTTTATGTTATTGTATTAATTGACAATTATTTTTTGAATTAATTATTTTATAACAATAGAAATCTAAGTCACGAGAATACCCATTTATTTATTTGTTTTGAATCGAAAGTAGAAACTACATAATTATGTTTTTTTAATTTTTTCTTTAAAGATATGTTTTTTTAATTTTGATTTCATAATCGGGTTTGCTATATCATAAAATAAAATAAAAAACTTGTTACAAAATATGCAGAATTTGATTTTATGTTTTTGTATTAATTGAAAATTATATTTTTAATTAATTATTTTATGACAATAGAAATCTAAGTCATGAGAATATATTTGTGTACCGAATTGTAATAAGCATAATGTAACAAAATGAAAAGTTGTATCCCATGGTTTGTGATTTTATTTTTCGTAACTTTTTTTTTTGGGAAACAGTTTTTTGTAACTTTTTTTCTTCAAAGTATCAATTTTGAGAATTTTTTTCAATTTTCTGGAGATATGTCTCTTTGTTTTGTAAGAAAGAGATTATAAATAAAATTCATGCATTTAGTACAATTAATAGAATTATTTAGATTTTTGTAAAAAAAATGTTATTTTGTAATTTAACAATTATTTTGAATTATCAAGCAATTATGGAATAAATTTATTTTAGAGTTTGAATTAAATTAAAAATGGTTAGAAATGTTAGTAGTTATGTTGTGATTTAGTATTACCCTTTTGTTATTAATTTACATTATTTTTTTAAATAGTCTTATAAAATATTTTGTTTAGTTGAGGTGAGTTTAATAATTTTTTGAAATTCTAGTTATTTAAGATGAATACATTACACTAATCCTTCTTGCAATCAGTATATAATCATGTATTAGAATATGTGCAATTAATTTTATTTGTGCAATGAGTGTGATATGAAAAAAAAATGTTTTGAAGATGATAAAATATCTCACTTATTTGCATTTTAGTTATCATCTTATATTGTGATGTATAATAAAGATGCTGATAAAGCACAATATTGATCGATGTCACTTATTATTCAACTGAATAAATTGATTTTGTCTTTTAAATTGCTATTAATTTTGTGTGAAGAAGCAACTATAGATCATTTGCCATCAATTTAATTTAATTTTTAGAATGAATGAGAAACCGTTGGAGCAATTTATGTTTTTTAAATGCATTCATGAAGTGAGATATAATATATATTGTAACATTTATGCTTGCTATTGAGTGAAAGATTATGAGTTTAGCTATTTTGTTTTGTGTATAATATATTTTATTTTCACCTGTGTATATATATTTTATTTCCATCTATTCAGTAATATTCTCTTAATTGATGCAAATAAAGAGTGACGATGATATGTAATTAAATGCATTTTTCTCAATTTTGTGAATCAAAATTAATGTCATAATTATTAACTTCATTGTTTTTTTTTGGTAAATCAAAGGGCCTAAGCCCAACAAAAGAAAACAAAGAAAACCAAAACAAAGAGCACCTACAGGATGACTAAGGCACGTGGTCTACCCATGTTAGCTAGGTCAGCTAGATACAATAACTGAATACCAGGAGGAGGATCTCCACTTATAAAATCTAATTTATCATTAAAATAAATATACAATATATAAGTTGAGAGTTTAATAAATGTTATAAAATCATCTTATCGTTTGACCCGGAAAACAATAAGTACGTCATGTTTAATTTAAAGAAATTAAAATTTAATATTTAAGTGAAAACAAGAATTTAAATTTATATCTTAATATTCGTTTCAAGTTTATTTCAATTTAAACTAAAAAAAAAACCCCTCTTGATTGATATTTTTTACGTTTAACTGTAAAAAATAAAATAATTTAAATTTTGTTATTTTATTTTATTTTTCATTTGTCCTAATCTTCTATAAATACCTTGAATACTACAACTGTGTTACCATATCCTAGAGTTGTAGAAAACTGAGATCCTATGGCACTAAAGAGTTACTCTGTATCCATGTCCCTGCTTTTCTGTTCCTTGATTTTGCTTCTTTTATACGTGCCTTTGTTTTGCGATGGAGGCTTTACAAGCCCCTTCCTAAGGAAATATCCGTCTGTTGATATGCCATTTGATAGTGACGTATTTGCAACTCCTCCGGGCTATAATGCTCCTCAGCAGGTACAATTCTCTGTTTTTTTAATATCAATTAAACATTATATTAATTGCTGTTTTTAATTGGTAACAAATATGTTGGTCTTTGTTATATAGGTTCATTTAACACAAGGTGACCAATTGGGAAGAGCCATGATCGTGTCATGGGTGACTGAGGATGAACCAGGATTGAGTGTAGTTCATTATTGGAGTGAGAACACCCCCCACAAGTTGGTGGCACAGGGAAGATATGTTACCTATAGATACTTCAACTATGCATCTGGTTTTATTCATCACTGCACACTTAAAAATCTAGAGGCAAGAGAACATTAATAATGGCTGCATGTTATTTTTTATTCTAATAGAAAAAAAAAAAAGATAGAGAATTTTCTTTATTGAATTGAATCAATGGATCATTGTAATTTTTTTGTTATTATTTTTGCAGTATGACACTAAATATTATTATAAGGTGGGAATTGGGCATACTGAGAGACAATTTTGGTTTGTGACCCCTCCTGAAGTTGGTCCGGATGTACCTTATACATTCGGTCTCATTGGCAAGTTTCTTCTTCTAAAACTATAATTTATGGTTGATTTACAGTTGGAACTTTTTTTGAGAACTTGGTACCTTGGCACTGAGGTTTAAGCATGTCAAAATTAATTTTAGATGATGGGGCTTTCTTTGCAGGGGGTCTAGGTCAGACTTCTGATTCAAACAAGACCCTTACTCACTA